GTTTCGGTCACTATGAGCCGTTGAAACACGAAACAGAAACATTTCTCCGCCATCCCCTAAGCTGCCACCTCCACTCTCATTCACGTGATCACTCGCACCACCCTGTGTCTCGTCTCAGCGTTATGCTATTCAACCCCGTCTGGACTGCTACTAGCTACCTCGTGTTTGATGTGACTTATATCGTGTCGTGCATGTGGTGAGTGATGGAAAATCTACTGAGTGAGATGGAGTCAGGAGATGACAATATTATTAAGTTAATTAGCTTGTACAGAGAACAACAAGTGCTGTGGAATCAAACAATTTCTGACTATGAAAACAAAAACAACAAAAAAACTATCTATGGAATGGCATTTCACGGGAAATGAACTTAAGCAAGGCAGAGGTCCAAAATAAAATGAGGAACCTCATAATTTAATTTAATAGAGAATTTAAAAAGGGCAATAAGTCTGGATCGGGGATCGGGGGCCGACGATGGGAAAACGAAGTGGAAGTTTTTCCAATAAATGATGAATCATAATCAAGATCGAAAGTATTTCAAATATTTTCATGAAACATGGAAACAAAACCATGAAATAAAAATTGCAAACATTTATTTGAAACTACTGTTTACAATAAAAGTTTGAAACTTTGTGTTTGAAACTTTTTTGGTGTAAACGCGGCTTTACTCGCACTTGGTTGGCACGCGGAGTATGAACAACTACAGTTCTCTGTTTTAGCACAGACTAGGGAACAAAAGAAGAACTTTTGATCCCTAGTCTGTGGTTCTAGGCTTACTATATATTTTTCTCTACAATGTAGGCTACTTAACGTTGTGTTGAGTACGTTATTTGCATCACCGGAAGTGAGTGGCTGTAGAATGTGACAACAGAAGGGCGTGGTTCGATTATTTACTGCTTCTCATCGATCTCCTCTACATTATCGCTGTTAGGATGGCCGACAATGAAACAAAAAAAGAGCATTTTAAACTGTAAGAGGAACCGTGACATTGGTGACGTCACTCAAGGATGCGGTCGTTTTGATTGTGTTTGCACAGATCAAGTGATAAGAGGCTCTCTCTCTCTCTCTCTCCCTCTCTCTCTCTCTCTCTCTCTCTCTCTCTCTCTCTCTCCCTCTCTCTCTCTCTCTCTCTCTCCCCCTCTCCCTCTCTCTCTCTCTCCCTTTCTCTCTCTTCTGTTGGCCGATTGATTCCCGCGGGCTGTGTTTAGGTCTAAACAATGCAGAAATCACACATTTTACCAAATGTTTAGTGTTTAATAAAAGGTGATCGGAAAGCGTGCGTTTGTTGTGACAACACATACGGGAATAACCAGACAATAGATAACAAAGATGCTACAAATACAGTACCCTCCATGCATACCACTGTACCTTTACCTCATATACAACGTTCTTATCCTTTGTGAAAACTTTCAATTTAAGAATTCAAGATAAACGTATTTTTTAATGCCATCCTGGTCAAAGAAATGCTGTATTACTTTTAATCTATACCACGAGTATTGAGGTGGTGTTTGCTTGTTTGCCTATTGTGCGGCTCTCACTACTAAAATACTAAACCGATACAGCCAAAATTAAGCACAAATATGATCCACATATCTAGGAATGTCATAAGTCTATCCACTTCCCTGAGTTCCTCTCGGGCTACGCCCCTTGGATGTCCAAAGTTGTAAGGGTAGGTTTTCAACAGTAAATATTAATTGGTCTCCATGGAAGCATGAGAAAATTCACAATGTTTACCTTTGCGTTGCCATTTCAGTATAAAAATCAGAGTTCCGAAATGCTTATTTCACAATTTCAGACAGCTGATCCAAACAAATTAAATATACAATTGTACACAACTAGTGGTAGGATTATTTAATCATAAACGTTATCATAGATAATTTATTCTAAATCTATGTCTATAATTATGAAACTGATATTTCTTCCCGTAGCGAAGCTACGGCAGTTGAGCAGCTAGTTATTAACTAAAATGTTGTATTCAGTTTTCTGGAAGAAACTTTGTATTAATTAGCTTAGGATTAATTGATGTTATTATTATTATTATTATTTAATATTAATTATAGGATGGGCTGAGGAGCCGATAATTGGGACTGCCTATATTTCTATGAACCAATAAAATAATTCATAAAGTGGGCTACTGTAACCTCGTTGTTCGATATCAGCAGTCAATTTACAGCATGGTGACCAGCACAACTACGGTGCTTGTGGTCACACTCCTCGTATAAAACTGTTAAGGAAAACATGTGCGAGGCAAAAGTTTGCTCTACTTTCAAACATATTTAAGCAAGACACATCTATATTCTATATATATTATAACTTCTAAAGTTTTTTTTGTCGGTAAGCCATAACTTCCTTATTTCTTCTCCATTTCCATAGATGAGGTGTCATTTTAAAGCTTTTTTTTTACTCAATACATGGGAAAAATATACTCATATAAGCCAGAAACATTTTCTTTATTATTAGTTAAGAAATTTGAAACTATGAAAAGTGATTAAATATCTACTTATTCTAACGTTTTTACGGTAGTTTAACCTTTTAATCAGTTCACTGTTGAACTCATAAACAAATGCATAGTTTTGCATACAGACCAGTTACTGGCTTTCATATTATGTACGGCTGTTTTAACATTACCAAGATAATAATAGATGCAAACTTTGGGTTAGCAATGCAAAGTGTGTAGGTTAAGCAATTTCAGTGAAAGGAGTCCCTATGTGACAATGGTACTAAAACTCTAAATAATGTTAGATGACGGGACGGCTGTTTTCACTTGTTCAAAATGAATAGTTTAAATTATTTATTATATCTGTAAATGAAAAACTGATGTTCCTTGGTGAACATTTAAGCAACACTAAAAATCTTTATTTATTTACAAATTGGAATAGAAGCATATTTTTTGTAATCATCTGTTTAAAGAAAGACAAAGTTCAATATAATTAAACCTTTAACTAACATAACATCACTGTTTTCACAAGTGAAGCGCTGATAAGTTTTGCAAAAATTAGCAGGTTTCTAAGGTTTAAGAGGAACTGTCAAGCTAAGTTTAAAGTGTCATCAATCTCGAAATGTGAGTTTATGGTGGCTTAGTCATTGTGTCCAGTACGTTCAAAAACGTATCAAAACTATGTTTGAAACTATTATATGTATACTATAACTATTTTTATTTCAATAGAAGTTTACATACCTATGACTATAGGCTCAACACCACAGTCCTATAAAGTATTGCAATTTTTCCAGACAGATGTCAAATGACTGAAACTTAAAAATTGTACTCCTAGAGAGAAAAATCGTGGAGTGAGTGATTTTTAGCGAATTTCCCAATAGTAGCTATTATCGTAGGTAGCATGGTAAGAAGTGGGCCCGGGACCGATTTACCTTTTCATTTTGATGTCCCTAGAGGCTACAAAACAATTCGTTCAAATTAGCATATATGTATATTTACATTTAAATGTGTGTATGTGTATGTGTACGTGAATTTGGGCAATTTTGGCCCAATTTTGACAAAATTTGGCATGAAGGTGTAGGGCAGGATAAACTTGAATGAGTTAGCGAACCGACGAGATCAGGTCGTAGAAATGGGGTTTTAAAATTTTATATTTTTTTCAAATTTAATCCTTGAAACATGGAAAAGGATGATTTTCAATATACCAATATATTGTGTAGGGCTTAGGAAACAAATAATTTAATAAATCAAAGCGTTGTTGAGATCTTAAAGACTACGGAGAAAAAAAAAAAAAAGATTCCCAAGTCATTCTTATGGAGAGAAAGAAAACTTAAAAAAGACTATTTAAATAGAAAACTATATATCGATGTATGTAGATACATTTTGTAAAATTTATGTATTTCATATCCAACTATTAACATTTGGGCAAAACATGCTCTTTAACCTCCCCGTAGCAGCAAACCCAGGTACTCGTCTAATCTTATCTTAATTGGCAGGGGTATCTATAATGATTGAATAGTTGTTGTACAGTATTTTGCTCCTAAATACTAATTTGTCTGAGAGTTGCGCTAAAGGGCCGTGGTATGCGCAACGAGCATGTGCTCGTTGGGTACCTATGCGTGATTGGCTGATTGGCGACCAACCTCCTCCTTCTACAACGGCACTCATAATATACAAACCATCTAAAACATAATTACTTGTCTATGGCTACACAATAATGTTCCGCTATTCGGCTAAACACACCAGAGTCAATAGTGGACCAACAGGACACCGGAGACCACTTGAGTAGAAAGCCTCGTTTCCGGTACCGACACCGACAGTGCAAACAACTGATTATATCCTTCACATACCGACTTGGTTTTCCAATGTGCATCTTTCATCACCACTACAACCTAGGGTAACCAGCGATCTTTACGTCTATAATATATGAATGTCTAATATATGAAGTGGGTTGGCCCAACGTTATTTATTTTTGCTCTTTTTGAAGAGTGCGATAACAGATTATTATTTTTTTTATAACGGGTGCTTTTTGATGGTATTTTCTCATATAGGGAATAAGGTATTTAATTACCGTAGGTAGGCTGTAAGACCTAGAGCTGGGACAATTTACTTTATCGTTACTCACTAAATCTAATGTTAAATAAATGGGGAATAAATCTAACGTTATGTAAGGGAATATTGGAGTGGAAATGCGATCTGGTAAATGGAAATTGGCTTATTCAACAGGATTGCTGTGGCAGGGATATTTTTGTAACTCATCGTAAACTATGAAAATGTTGACTAATTTTGGAAGTTACTTAGTATAAGTAATGGTTGTTTTATTTTAAACACTTCCAAAAATGCACAACATTTGAATTTAGGTTAGTGATAAGTTGACTGAAATAGAGTTTGAAATATAAAAGACTAAAACACCTTTTGGCTGTTTCAATATCTAAGTCTGATCTAATTTATCATCAATATTGCTTTAGCCGTTAGATACAAAACATTAGTGTCGTCACCACTCAACAGTTTCAAGTAATTAATTTATACCTTTCATACACCTGAGGCAGGGGATTGTGCTTTCTTTGACAGTTCTCATAAACATTCGGTTAATGTTCAATTTGTTATTTCCCACCTAACTACGGGAGTTTCCTAATGTAACGTCTGTCAGTATATTTGATACTCGCAATGTTTGCTGATGGAACATGATAGTTTAAAAGCCTCGTGCTGGGATTGGCCGGACAATGTTCGCGTTGTATGATGCGCGGCGCGGCGCATGACGATGCGGAAAGTGCCTCAGTCGTCAGTCGTATGATGAGGACCTCTCTAGGCTGCAGGTGGGCTGTCTTCGGCGTAGTAGTGCTCCTACTGCTAGCAGTCGGTGTTCCTGTCGTCGTACTGATGGTGCCAGCAGACAGTGGAGGTCTACCGTGTCACTTAGACCTCAGCGTGCCTCTGGTGAACGCCACCTTCCATGCGGGAGGTGCTGTGTCGTCCTCAGGGATACTGTACCCTGAGGGACATCACTTCAGCGTCAACGGAACTCTCCGAGGATGTATTTGCTCCTTGAAACCTTGCATCAGAAAGTGTTGTGAGAGAAACGAACATTACGTAGCGAGACGTACCTGTGGTGTCAATACGGACGTGGACATGAGCAACTTCTCTCTGACAGTGTACACGGAGCACGGAGTTGTCGTCGAGGTACCGGTGACCGAGTTCGCGGTACTCTATGGAACCGTGTGCTACGACGGAATGTTCCCCTTGGACCCGTCATCGCCCCAAGACAGACATTACTTGTTGGAAGACGGAAGAGTTCTCAGATTCAAATCGGAACACGAAGAAGTGTACCTGGATGCCACGAGGTATTGTCTCGACTCTATCAAAGGCTCGAGTGTCGTACGCACGTTTGTGTGCGTGGCTCCTATCGAAGACCGAGATACGAAGATCAGCTTTGCTATCTACCCGATCATGCTGTCCATATCTACGTTGTTTTTGCTGTTGACATTCCTAGTTTATTGTGCAATCCCAAAACTTCGAAACTCTCAGGGGAAGTGTCAAATGTGTTACATATCATTCCTCTTTGTAGCCTATGCTGGACTGACCGTGTCAAACTTGAAGGTAGCCGTTGGAGTTTGGTGTGTTGCTTGTGGTGAGTTGTAAATATTAGTTCTTTATCGAGTGACATGAGCCGTGTCATTTGCTAGTTTTCAAACTATTAGAACTAATTGAATTAAAAAAAAAATGAATGACTAGAACGAAAGACTTAAAGTATCAATTACACCGTGCCTGCAATGCACAGTTAAATTATTACAGTATGTTCTTTGATTGGATTTTGTAAGTCAATAACTACAGTTATCGCATCAATAAAAACTGTATGTCCAGTGTAAAAAGGTTTAAAATTTTCCAAAATTTAATTATTTTTATATAATATTTCAACAACTCTTATGTTCCCAACCGGATACCAATCTGGTTGGGGCACCTAATTTAAACACGCCTAAAACAGAACATTTCGTAGAAATAATTTTACAATGCTATAGTACGTGTCGTCTTGGTTGACATCAAGAGAGGGATTTAGCTTGCTGAATTAAGTCTGAAAAGCTCACTTTACAGTGTTTGGTTGACGTCTACGTTCTCATAGAGGGCACCCGCCCTACATAACCGCCGTACGTAAGAGATAACCAAAGCAGTATGAGAACGGATCTATAATCAAATATTGTACCGTAGATTACTTTTATAATTTTTTTCAACATCATATTTTTCATCCCTATAATCAGTCATATAAATTACTTAAGAGTGACTCTATGATTGAGGTTTTGATGTTTATGTTTTTTGTTCTTCATTACTTTATTACAAGTTGCAGTTTTGCTCGATTTCGAGCAACAGGTTATCTAGTTATTATTATTATATTATAATTTTTAAGGGGTTGGTACAAACATTTCATTTTTAGGGGCAAATTTGAGTATGTATGTACATTTCAGAAGATGGTTAATTTATATTTGGTCCCTTAGTAGAAGTAATGGTTTTCAAACATTGTGGATACGTATTAATAACTTCCGTGGTATTACACGCATATTACAATGAAAGAGAAAATTAATATTGAAATATTAATTTGTTTATGGTGTCGACAGTAAAACACGCAAAATACTTAATTATTGAACAATATTAATGTGATTGGAAGTGGTACTGGTAAACGAGAATCCCGTGTAACATTGTGATATCACAATGAGTCACACACATCGTCTGTCAGCTACAAGGTGAACTCGTGACCACTCTAATGCTGTCATCGATTATGTAAATTAACAAATGTTTGGACAATAAAACCAATGAAAAGTAATTAGTTATGGTAACGCTTTAAATGTGAATTCAGCAATCTGTTTACAGCAAATTTTTACATGTTATTGTTAATGTAGTATAATGTAGAACGTTAACAGCTATAACCGTAGGTGACAGTAATGTGATCGTGGCCAAGACAGTCGTCGTTCTTGTCCTACTTAGTTGCCTAAGTAAGCAAGTGAAACATATTTACCGATCTCGTAAGTTGGTGTTTTCACTCATAAACCTCTTGTGTCGTCCTCGAGTGGTGAAACTAAGGGGAGTGAGGGGCTCATCTACAACTGGCTGAGCTAACACAGAATGGAAACCAAAGATCAAACGGTTGCCAACGAGAACAATAAAACAAGATAAACAAACGTAAACTCATCCTTTTGAATAACAACATTAAACTCGGCTTAGAATAAATCAAACTAACAAGGTACTGTAATGCTATTTCCTATACACCTATTGTGTCTATATCAAAGATCTTTGTGCTATACAGGGTGGCTGAAAAGTAACTTGCACCCCCACTTAACTTTTCAACCATTTGAGATATTTGAAATCGGTTTGCGGTAACCTTCTAAGATATGAGGGGCTACAATAATTGTGGTAAATTTTGAAAATTTTGCCCTTAGGGGTAGTGGGGGTAGGGGGTAGCTCAAAATTTTCAAATGACAAGTATAGTCGAGTTTGGTATCATTTTACAGGTCTTGACAAAACATGAACATTGACGTAAAGAAAACCAAAATCGGCTCACTAATAACAAAATGGCGCCCTAAAACGTTTCAAAGCCAAATAACCATGAGGGTGGCAAACAAATTAACTTGCACCCTCTTTAACTTTTTAAATATTTGAGATATTTGAAATCAGTTTGTGTCAACTACTTTGGAAATGAAGGGTTACAATAATTATGGTCAGTTTTGAAAATTTTGCCCTTAGGGGTAGCAGGGGTAGGGGGTAGCTCATAATTTTCAAATAGCAGCTATAGTCGAGTTTGGTATCATTTTGTAGGTCTTGAAGAAACATAAAAATTAACATAAAGAAAATAGAAATCGGACCATTGATAACAAAATGGCAGCTCCAAATTACTTTAAATAACCATTGTCTCAATCATTTTTAGCTGCCATTTTGTTATTAAGGGGAGCTGAACCTAAAATTTTTTAATTAAAAAAAAAAAAAAAATTATTTTAGTTTTAGATTCTTTGTTTTATCCTGAAAAAGAAAATATATATATAATAATAGGTATCACCTCCCAAAACTAGAAAAAAACAAAAACAAGTAAAGCACCAAATTTTCTGAGCATAGGGAGTAGACCTAGTTAAGGCCATCTAGTGGCCTAGTAGTGTCATCTTTGTTCGCGACTTTCCGAAAACTTGTTTTTTTAATGATAAAGGTACACTTTTCTCAAGAAGTAATAAACATATCTTGATGAAATTTTTACCAAGTGTACCTTACATCACTACAAATATGTGGAACTAGAATTATCACCATAGGATCAATAGTAAAAATTACAAAAAAAAAAAATATTTTTTGTCAAAAAAAATAGAATTTTTCAAAAATATAAAAAAATAAAATTTGTAACCATAGAAACATAATTCTAGTTCAACACACTCTTGAAGCACATATATTAACTGTCTACAATTTCTAAAGCTGTAGGTTAAATAGTTTCCGAGAAAAATTTACCTAAACTTGGAGAATTTAACATGGGCTCTTATGGGCGGTTCAGCTCCCCTTAATGGTCCGATTTCTATTTTCTTTATGTTGATTGTTATGTTTCTTCAAGACCTACAAAATGATACCAAACTCGACTATAGCTGCTATTTGAAAATTTTGAGCTACCTGCTACCCCTAAGAACAAAATTTTCAAAACTGACCATAATTATTGTAACCTTTCATTTCCAAAGAAGTTGCCGCAAACCGATTTCAAATATCTCAAATATTTAAAAAGTTAAAGAAGGTGCAAGTTAATTTTTTTGCCACCCTCACGGTTATTTGGCTTTGAAACGTTTTAGGGCGCCATTTTGTTGTTAGTGAGCCGATTTTGGTTTTCTTTATGTCAATGTTCATGTTTCGTCAAGACCTGTAAAATGATACCAAACTCGACTATACTTGTCGCTTGTCAGCCACCATCGTTACCATAACCAAGAATGTGCACACCAATAATCAGTGGCAAATAGTTCGCATGTTCGTTGTTATTATAGTGTTTTATTGTTATAGGGTTCGCCTAGTAATGGAAAGGTCACCGGCTCGATCCAGAGAAATGTTATACTGTGGTATCTTTCTGATGGCTCGAAACTGGACCCATCAAAGCTTGATCAAGCTTTTAGTAAACGATCCTGACTGATAAAACTCTCTAACAAAGTTACTAACTTTGTTAGAGAGCTTTAAAGTTTGGAATAAGCACCAATCGTCCTCCGCCTCCCAATTGGTAATACAATATTTACTCATTGAATTTAACCGTCAAACACTTACCAATTGGATCTTTATCTAAATGACACCAAAGTGAATAGGGGAGGAGCACTGTCATGCTAAGTTTTACATAATTACATTTGAGAAGAGAGCATGCAAAGTCGATCCGTTGGGAAAATAAGTTGCAAGTCACGTGAAAAATGAGTGTCTGACACCTTCTTTCCTAATTAATCACTATTAAACCTTGACCATGGCATGAAATTTATAGTTTAGAGGTAGCATTAGGACCCTGAATATGGTGGATTGGTGGATGGGAAATAATTACTATGTTTTAGCGAATTTCCCTATAGGGAAGTAGCTATTACCGTAGGTGGCACGGTAAGACCTAGACCCGGGACCGATTTACTTTTTCATTTTGATGTCCCCAGAGGCCAAAAACACTATTCGTTCAAATTTTTATATATGTATATATATATATATATATATATATAGACTTATATATATATACGTCCGTGAACGCGATAACTTGAGTAATTTTTGTCCGATTTTGATGAAATTTGGTTTAAAGGTGTAAAGCGGGATAAACTTGAATGAGTTCGCGAACCAGCACGATCGGACCATGGGAACGGGGCTTTACGGGGGGTTTTATGGGGTAAAAATTGGTTTTTCTCACTTTTGACCCTCAAAACACAAAATTTCCCAATTTCTCTTTAAACCTTTTTAAAGAGCTTAAAAAAACAAATAATTTAGTATATAAAAGTATTTTTGTTTGATTATTAGTAACGGAGAAAATTAAAAAAATTGTAAATTTAAAATTCCCATGTTATTCTTATGGAGAATATTGTCAAATGTTGTAGTTTGCTTGTTTATGAATATATTTTGATCAAACTTGGCAAATTTATTTATTTTGTACTAAGCTATCAATATTTTACTCAAAAACACACTTTATTAGTTTCCTTGTAGCAGCAAACCTAGGTACTCGTTAAACCTAATGTTATCTTACTAATATTATAAATGTGAAAGTTTGTGTGTTTGTTTGTTTGTTTGTTTGAAGTTCAATCACGCATAAACCACTGGACGGATTGGGCTGAAAATTGGCATGATGATAGCTTACATTCCCGATTAACATATAGGCATATTCTTATCTCAAAAATCCTTTCGGGCTCCGCCCCAGTGGATCTGTAATTCCCCATGTTAACCTTATAGTCTAGTTGCCAAAAGGCATTTTTCACCCAAACCTGAAAGTAAGGTCCACCCAATGTTTTTTAGTGTTTTCTGTTTCTTTAAGACCTACATAATTAAAATCTGCAGGGTGCCACTTTGTCACCCTTGAGCAAATTGAAATATTCAAGATGGCGGCCAAGATGACTTAAAAACTGTATATTTGCTGTATCTTTCCCTATAGAAGAGACATGATAATAATTTTTG